GGGGGAGGGGAAGGAGGGGGGCAGGGGAAGGCTTTTTGTTTGACTCACAACAGTGGCTCATTGGATTAGGGCAGTCGTCATCCTATTGTCACCATCTTTATCTGCATTAATAACAGTATTGAGCATAGGTGCCATTTAATCTATTAATAATGTAATAATAGTATTATCTTATTATATTCTTATTAGGATCTGAGCTAATTTTCTCAAATTAATTTCTGAGCTAATTTTCTCAAATTAATTTCTGAGCTAATTTTCTTAAATTAATTTCTTAACTAATTTCCTTTCTACAGTCTCAAACATGATTGGTCGTTTTTCTCCATTTTCCATATTTTCCATATAATTAGCATAAAAAGGTGGTGTGTAGTGGGTTGTTTAACAAAATCTAAATCAATCTGCACAGAAGTTATGGAGGGGGTGAGCTCTGCTCTGCAGGGGCTTCACAAGGCGGGTAGTGAATGCCCTGAAGGCTGTATGGGCAGATAGTGGGGGGTACTCTATTCCAGGGTTGAGGGGGATGTGAGGGGAGGCATCATACCTCGGGGGGGCAGATTAGGGTAAAGGGTAGACAGAGGCATACTTTGGGTGGGAACTGGATGCCTCTGCGGTACAGGCGGGACTGTTTGAAAAGTTGGGGTTGATACGGCAAGTCCACCATCATTAGGACATTTTTTTTCGGTGGAGGCAGCTTTGGGACACTGTCAGGGAGGGAAGGAGGATGGGGGGGGTTGGATTATCTATGTTCTGTTTGATAATCTGTGCTACACATATAGCACAGAACTAATTCATTATGAATTGCTGATCAGTCCTCCGCTTGTGCCTGGGAGACAGACTGTTGTCTTTAAAGGTCCAGGAGACTCTGCAGCAAAGTACATTACTGATTAGACTTTCTCAAGCTTATCTGACTGTAATAATTCCTGGGTGGCATCTAGTTTTCTTGCATATTGGATTTAGGATTTCCGAGATGACTGAATCCTGGCTGATACCTTGTAGGGCTATGGTGTTTTGTGCTATTGGTTTGCCGATGCCAAACCACCACGCTGGCCAGTGCTGGGGCGTTTTGCCCTGTGACCTGTTTGTAGCAGGAGATTGAGGCCCAGTACACTGG